CGCGCGCATCGTCTCTCGAAGGGCGATGACGTGGCGCCGCGCGAGGTGGCCTCGAACGTACCGCGTCACGGTCGTCGCTACATATCATGCGCATGTGACACTCGCGCATAGTTGGATCGTCGCACCGGCGTGCTGCCGCTTTCGAAACCGAGCTCGCACGAGACAGCGGCGGAGCCACGCTTGGAGTTGACGCGCATAGGCGGTCGTGCGATGGGCAAACGCCACATACGCGGCCCAAACACCAAACAACTCGCGCTGCCGCCGGACGCAGACGTTGGCGAAGCGGCCACGAATGTCTTTGGTGCGCTGCGTCACGACACGCCAGTGGCCAAACCGGTTGATGAGACTCCGTCGAAAGACCTTGACCGACGCTTGACAGAGCTGCGGCACGCATGAGAGATGGACGATAGTGGCACGGTGTACATACCTTGCCGTGCCGAATCATGGCGCGCGTGTGGGCGTGGTCTCGCCACGTGCCAAAGCGAGAGGCCAAGGTCGCATACATGGCCCTAGCCATTTCGTTGGCCATATTTCCATCAAGATAGCAAGTACATACGCTTGAAACTTGCGCTTGATGGCGCGTGTTTGTAGCAGCCAGCCTTTCCACGCACCAAAGGTCTGCACTTGGGCGCGGAGGACGATGCGCCGAAGCAGCTGCGTCGCATGGTCGGCCTGGGTCGCCGCCGCAGATCGCTTTTCAAGCACGATGGCCACGACCGACGCGAGAAACACCGAAGCGACGTGGCTCCTACCATGCCAATGAGCGTTCACGTGCTGTCTCGTAGTCTCAACCGCGCGTGGGCTTTGAGACTGCACATGCGAGCACGCGCCCACGTCTGGAGTGCGTTGGCGGTTTTGTGCACGTAGAGCTCGTACACACGTCCTGGTCAAGACGGTGACGACAGCTTAAAATGAATGGAACGCACCTGGAAACTGCGTGCAGCAAAAGAGGAGCGCCGGTAGCGCGCCGTACCGAGACGCGTAATAGAGGTACTTTGTGTGGTCGCGGCGGGACCTGGCCATGCGCTCGTCGGCCTCGGCTTCGTGCACTGCAACTTGGCGCGCGCGCTCTGCTTGGAGCTTGGCGCGAAGGGCCGCCACGCGCTGGGCCCGCTCGTCGTGCTCCTACTTGCATTGCATTACATTTGCATCGACCGAAACGCCGTCGTACGCGGTCCATTTCAGGGCTAAAGTAGACGGGGAAGCCCCAGAGCGCCGACCCAAGTGCGGATGGCGCTGCACGGCTCTTGGCAGGACGCTGGACTCGTGCCGTAGGGTGCGGCAACGCCTTGGCTGAGGGAAGTCCGTTGCGAGGCAAGGTCATCGACAGAACGTGGCGCCTCGACATGGGCGTCTCCATTTTGGACTTGACTCCGTAACCGCACTCCACCGCCACGACTCATCTCAGCCGCGCCTACAGAATGCCCTTGCGAGCTTGACGCGACTCTCTGACGTGCGTTTGCTGGTGTCCCTTGTAAAAGTTATGGCAAAGTCATCGATCCGACAGGCTCGTGACCAGCCAGATCTCCTGGCTTTCGCTCGCTGTCCCTGAAGTGTGTTTATCCGAATCGCAACGTAGAAGCCCAGTCGCACCGACGCGAATGGACGAGTTGAATAGCACAGGTTGCAGGGCAATTGCTCGTCTCGTGTGTCGAATCTATACGGTACAAAGGTTTGCGCGCATGGGCAGAAGCAGCAGAGAAAGCGTGGGCCCATCAAGTTTGTTGGGAAGAGAGTAGCACGTCATGGACATTGACGGAGAGCGTGCACGTCCACTGCTGGCCTTGGTTGCCGCGGGCCGTCACCTGGCTCCAAGTCGGAAGCTGCTCTCTGGGCGCTGGGCTCGCAGCGGCTGACGCATCTTGCCAACATACGCCCACTCGGCCACGCTCGACGCCGGCGAGTGGTCGACCGCGAGCGTGACTTGGCCGATGCGCCCACCGAGGACCTTGAGCATCATTATTGTCGTGGATCGTGCTCGTACACGTGTCCTTGTTAAAATAGTGTCAATAAAAGCTGTTGATAACGATGCGCTCGACCGTGTTTTGGTTGTGGACAATCTCCATGTGGATCGACTGCGTCTCCCACAGTCGCAGCAGCCGGTCGCGCATGCTCACGTCCAAAAACAACGGTCGTCCACGAAACTGGAACCGCGACGTTCTCTCCCCAAACCCCTCGCCGTACTCATCGACGTAGAGCCTACGTAT